CAGAAAGTATTAAAGCTTCGAACTTTCCTGACCTGCGTCTGCCTTCCAGGTTAGTGAGGCAGAAAGTATTAAAGCTTCGAACTTTCCTGACCTGCGTCTGCCTTCCAGGTTAGTGAGGCAGAAAGTATTAAAGCTTCGAACTTTCCTGACCTGCGTCTGCCTTCCAGGTTAGTGAGGCAGAAAGTATTAAAGCTTCGAACTTTCCTGACCTGCGTCTGCCTTCCAGGTTAGTGAGGCAGAAAGTATTAAAGCTTCGAACTTTCCTGACCTGCGTCTGCCTTCCAGGTTAGTGAGGCAGAAAGTATTAAAGCTTCGAACTTTCCTGACCTGCGTCTGCCTTCCAGGTTAGTGAGGCAGAAAGTATTAAAGCTTCGAACTTTCCTGACCTGCGTCTGCCTTCCAGGTTAGTGAGGCAGAAAGTATTAAAGCTTCGAACTTTCCTGACCTGCGTCTGCCTTCCAGGTTAGTGAGGCAGAAAGTATTAAAGCTTCGAACTTTCCTGACCTGCGTCTGCCTTCCAGGTTAGTGAGGCAGAAAGTATTAAAGCTTCGAACTTTCCTGACCTGCGTCTGCCTTCCAGGTTAGTGAGGCAGAAAGTATTAAAGCTTCGAACTTTCCTGACCTGCGTCTGCCTTCCAGGTTAGTGAGGCAGAAAGTATTAAAGCTTCGAACTTTCCTGACCTGCGTCTGCCTTCCAGGTTAGTGAGGCAGAAAGTATTAAAGCTTCGAACTTTCCTGACCTGCGTCTGCCTTCCAGGTTAGTGAGGCAGAAAGTATTAAAGCTTCGAACTTTCCTGACCTGCGTCTGCCTTCCAGGTTAGTGAGGCAGAAAGTATTAAAGCTTCGAACTTTCCTGACCTGCGTCTGCCTTCCAGGTTAGTGAGGCAGAAAGTATTAAAGCTTCGAACTTTCCTGACCTGCGTCTGCCTTCCAGGTTAGTGAGGCAGAAAGTATTAAAGCTTCGAACTTTCCTGACCTGCGTCTGCCTTCCAGGTTAGTGAGTCAGAAAGTATAACAGCCCAGCAGCTAGAAGTCTCAGAAGTCAGAATGATATTGGCAGCCGAGCTGTTCTGTTGAACTGAGACTGTCACTAGGATAAAAATGTGCAAACAGAGCCACTCTGCAAAAGAGCATGGCGGACAACGACCTTCCCAGCGGGCACGCGTCCAATCTTCGTACACAGTCGTGATGTAGCAGGCGGCGGGAGGAACCACAGCTCCCAGCGGAGGACGCCATCTGACATACCCAGAGGTGTCAGATAGCAGTGGTACTCATAGCAGAACAAAGATCGGTAAGAGATCAACATGTTCCTCTGCAGGCTGGCTCTGTTTGCACATTACCTTAATGACAGGGTCACTTTAAATTGGCAACACATTCATTATTATTATACAGGATTGATATAGCGCCAACAGTTTGCGCAGCGCTTTACAATGTAAGGAAGACATTACAATTACAATTCCCATACAAGACAAGATGTTAAGGAGGGCATTTAAGACACCAACTGAAATCAAGCTGAGGCTGGGTGTGCCTGTACTGGCCCCTGAAGTGGGTAATGCTGGGTACACATTAGGGGTGTCCTGAGACCGGGTGGCACCTCTCTGTGGCGTCATCGTGCATGCGCATGATGTCACAGTGGGGTGTAACCCGGTCTCCGTTCCGGGTGTCACCCGGCCTCAGGACGCCCGATGTGTACCCAGCATTACGCCACCATGCGCGTGCGCAATGATGTCATCGCGCATGTGCGGTCATCTTATTGACGCCTACCGGCGGCCATCTTGGTGATGGACGCCGGCAGGGAGAGGATGAGGTATGCCGCTGGGTCCCCTCCTCTCTCCTGCCACTGTCGGGCTCTTCGTCAATGACCGAGTGCCCGATTTTTCAGAGGGGGTGACGCCAAAATGACTGTGAGTGATTTTGGCGTCACCCCTTCAATGGTGTCACCCCCCTTGTGACGCCACTGGTACACATGGATGCTTCCCAAAAGTCAATCATTAGACATGCTGCAAGCACTGTTCAGGTATTCTGGAAGTGGGGGCCGAAGCTGTCAGAATACAATGGGGGGAATGATCAAATCTGGAGCAGTTGCCCATAGTAACCAATCAGCTTCTCTTTTCTGGGTGTTCAGTTAAGCTTTAAAAAAAGAGAGAAGCTGCTTGGTTGCCCTGGGCAACTGCTCCACATTTTCTCTGCTCCAGTTATGATACATTCCCCTCAATGTACACAACGGGAGATTCGTTCGTCCACGCTGTTACAAAATCTCTCCATGTATACCCAACTTAACAAGAAGCAGAACATCCCTGTCTCTCCTATCTGTACCTCTGGTAGCGTCATATTACATGCAGGTATCAGGGGCTCTGCACATAGCTATATGCTGCTCGGTCCCTCCCTTGTCACGTCCATGCAGGTATCAGGGGCTCTGCACATAGCTATATGCTGCTTTGTCCCTCCCTTGTCACATCCATGCAGGTATCAGGGGCTCTGCACATAGCTATATGCTGCTTTGTCCCTCCCTTGTCACGTCCATGCAGGTATCAGGGGCTCTGCACATAGCTATATGCTGCTTTGTCCCTCCCTTGTTACGTCCATGCAGGTATTAGGGGCTCTGCACATAGCTATATGCTGCTTTGTCCCTCTCTTGTCATGTCCATGCAGGTATCAGGGGCTCTGCACATAGCTATATGCACGTCCATGCAGGTATCAGGGACTCGGCACATAGCTATATGCTGCTTTGTCCCTCCCTTGTCACGTCCATGCAGGTATCAGGGGCTCTGCACATAGCTATATGCTGCTTTGTCCCTCCCTTGTCACATCCATGCAGGTATCAGGGGCTCTGCACATAGCTATATGCTGCTTTGTCCCTCCCTTGTCATGTCCATACAGGTAGGTTCATAGGAAAGTAGGACATAGAGGACAATTGTCTTCCTTGCCAATATGAATGTACTGCACACACCTCCGCACTATGACCTCATTAAAAAAAAATGAGAAAAACGTGTTCTGCACTTTACCCGACAGATGTTTCACAGGCGTTTCTGGAAGATTGTTTGCTCAGGGAATATGCAAGGCACTTTGAAGATGAAAAGAAAAAAAGCTACCAACCCCTACAATCCATCTATTGTGACAGGGAGGGACAGAGCTGGATGTGGTCTTGTGCATGAGACACGAGGGTTTGTTCAGGGATGGGCAACTCTGGCCCCCCAGCTGTGCTTTAACTACAGATCCCATCATGCATCTGCCTCTGGGAGTCATGCCTGGGGCTGTCAGAGTCTTGCAATACCTCATGGGACTTGTAGTTCAACAAAAACTGGAGAGCCGGAGTTGCCCACCCCTGACTTGAAGGGTATCTCTGGTCAAAAACTACCAATAAATCTGTATTTCTAGAGGTTCTGAATGGGGAAAAAGCTGTCAGCTTCAGACTTGGGTCTGGGCAGCTTCAGACTTGGGTCTGGGCAGCTTCAGACTTGGGTCTGGACAGCTTCAGACTTGAAACTGACAGCTTTTTCCTCCATAATACTAGGTGAGGCTCTGCCTCCCTGCCCCTGGTTTAGACGTGTAGACACGTATGGTGAAAACTCTCCTTCTATTCCTCCTGCTGTTTTCATTGTAATTTTCTTGTTTGAATTTCCTTAACAAGCACACGCATATGTTCACAGGAGTCCACATGCATAGAATTGATATCCTTTTTTTGTGCTACAGATCTGAAAGCAGCCCGTGTTTATTCACCTGTGTGCATGTCCCCATTGAAAACAATACACCTGAATTCCAATCTATAAACAAATAAACGGTGTGCATTGCGGATTTGTTTATGGTCGTGGGCATGTGACCTGAAGCTTATCCCCGGGAATAAAAAAACATCCACTACCCTTTAAAGAAGAACTATGGGGTCAGTGTTTTTCCCCATAGTTCTCCTTAGGGTAACGGGAGGACACAAACTAGTGTCCTCCCGTTACCCTAAGCTCAGTATACCGCGAGCTGTAGACGCTGCAGCCGGAGCGGATCCAGACATGGACGTCGGGATCCGGCCAGCTGCGTGAGTGACAGCTGGCTCTGCCTATCTAGAGGCAGAGCCAGCTGTACCCGCCCCCTCCACCAGTCAGCGCTGGCGGATCGGAGCGGGGAGAGGGGAATCCAGCCCCTCCCCCTGTCACGGCAGAGAGCTGTGACAGGATCGAGAGGTGAGGGAACCTGGTATGTGTTCGCTCACCTCCCGATCTACTGAGCCGACCTCTGACAGTCTCATTGTCACAGGTCGGCTAGAACTATGAGGTGAGTGGAAATCACTCATCTCATAGTTCTCCTTTAAGCCCCCCTCCCCAAACAAGGGTTAAATGCAAAAATAAAAAAAATGATTGATGAGAAGATACGGTGCATAATGGTGAAGGCTGCATTCACACTGGTGCATTATATTATGCCTGTTGGTGCAGCGCACTTCATGGTAACCCACCTCTGTGTATTTATCACAACTGGAGAAGACAGAATCTGGAGCAGTTGCCCATGGTAACCAATCTGTTTCATTCTTCAGTTTGTTTGGTTGCACTTTGAAAATGAAAGATAGAAGCTGGTTACCATGGGCAACTGTTCCAGATTCTGTCTGCTCCAGTTTTGATAAATTCCCCTCACTGTATGTTAACTATACGCGCGTAATTAACACCTTACGGAATTAACTAGGCCCTAAAAAAGAATGGCACCCCTAAGTCACGTAATCAATATAATAATTGGGCAGTAAATGCGGTGATATAAAATAATTGACACAATAAATGAACTCGTACAGCTCGTTGAAATAAAAACTAAAACCAGTGACGTTCCTCACAAGTCCCTCGGCTCTGTACATGGCACAGATACCATTACACCACCGTGCCATCACTACCTTAGGGCGCAGCAGCAGTTCATAGGCCCGGCTGCACCACGTGATTACTCACTGGTTCAGCCAGTTCCCCGCAGAATGGGGTGGGCGGAGTGGAGCGTTGAGTGACATGCCTCGCAGCCACTGGGAGGTGCCAGAGCGAGGTGCCTGGTAGTACGGTGTTGCCGGAAGTATGGCGGCTGTGTGAAGGTGGGGGACAGCAGCATGGCGGGGTCTGCAGGCCGGACCGGGGATGTTATCCATCTCAATGTGGGGGGGAAGAGGTACGTATAAGAGATATAGGAAAGGAAGTGTTAGGGGTAATTGGGGACCGGAAGTTCTTGTAATAAAACGGCTTTTGTGCAATTGGGGGGTCATTGTGGGTCTGGGGGAGACGGAATATGGCGTGAGGGTGGTGGAGCTGGGGGGTTATTATGTGTGCATGAGGTACTGCATGGGGTCTATTTATAAAGCAGAGAATGCGACTTGAACAAAATACCCATTCAAGTGCATTGCATGGAAGTGATTCATTCTCCACAGGCGAATGTTTGTGTCTGAATTCTCTGCTTTGCAAATAGAGCCCTAGGTGTCCTGTAAGTGAAAGTATCTGAAGTAAACTGCCTGTGTTGCACATAGGAACCAATTAGCTCCTTCTGTTTGTTTCCTGAACTGTGCATGGTTAAAGAGGACCTGTCTCTAACATTGATGCTTCACATGAACCAATAGAGCGCATGTCAGAATCGGTAGATAGGACATCACTTCACTTCTCCGCAACCTTAACACTAAATTCACACCGGCCACCATGTATTTGTCCTTTCTCGAGCCCCGTCAGCATTATCAAATCATATTAAAGCTGAACTCCGGGATAAACAATTATTGTCTACATACAAGAGTCATGTGAGTTTTTCCTTGAATCTTGGTGAGCTTTGTGTATTCCAGATCTGTGCAGTGATCCAGTGTGAAACTTAGAGCTTCCTGTAAAATAGACCAGCCAATGCTGCTATCTCTCCTTGTGCAGGGTGACTGGTCTTGTCTCTGCCCCCTCCTGCATTTTTCTGCTGGCAGCCAGTAGTGGCTGGAGTCTTCTGAGCCCCTCCCACATTTCTTATCGCTGCACAGGCTATGTACAGTACAATGATGATGTCACGGATCCCTTTTGTTTTTACAAGGGTCTTCAAAGTCATTTCGGTGCACACAAAGCTGATCACAGCAGTACGGAGCGTAAGGAAAAAAACGGACGTGTTTTGGACGTGTTTCAACTATTTTGTTTCCCAGTGTGCTTTGCAGGTGGTCTTCCACAATGTATATGCGCCTTAAAAACGCGCGTTCTTTTTGCACAAAAAACACGAGAACAAACGTGCGGTTTTGGTGTATTTTACATTGAAATCAATGGAGCACAACGTGCTGGATCTACCTTTAAAGAAGCTCATGCACCTTTTCCAGCTTTCAGTATTTTTAAAGCTTGCTGCTAAACTGTCAGGTGTGAACAGGGGCCATAGAAGTGAATAGGAATGTTTGCGTTGTGAGTTTTGACGCGTTAGCTTTCAGCGTCAAAACGCCCAGGTGTGAACAGGGACTAACTCTAATTGTGTCCCTTATACAGAGCTTTTTACCCCGTACTAAACAAGCCCAATGAACTGTAAATTTGACCTCACTAATGCTGGCCACAGACTTTACAACCATGGCAAGACTTTTGTCTTGCCATGGTTGTAAGGTATTTAAAAAATGTACGATCTGCCCATCTTGGACAGGCAGATCGTACTTGTGATAATCGTAAGCCCGCCCCCCTGACTAGAGGGCTTCCGATGACCGCAATGCTGAACAGGCAGTGTGCGCTTGCACACACCAGACCGTGCGCCATTTATCTTACGAACATGCCACACACCCGCCGACAATCGTACGATTCTCGGCGGGTTTTCGAACATGTTCCTAAGATAAAAGTCGTGCGACCGTACAGTAGAAACGATCGCACGCCTTCCACACACCTTGCGATAATCTTACGATCGCGGGATTTCCCGCGATTATCATACGATCATCGCAAGGTGTGTGGGCACCTTTACCGTATGTGAATTTATCTACTTTCTGTGTGCAGTGCCCAATAATTGTACAAAATCCTTAATCCTTGACTACGGTATGAATTCTGAAGTGGTTGTGGGGATTTCAGTTATTTACTGCTGCGTTTCACAGTTTAGTGTCCTGTAAGAGCAGCTGTGAGTACAGCACTGATATTTTATATGGTCCTGTTAGTACAGCATTGATATGTATATGGTCCTGTGAGAGCAGCAGTGATATTGATGTGGTCCTGTGAGAGCAGCACTGATATTGATGTGGTCCTGTGAGAGCAGCACTGATATTGATGTGGTCCTGTGAGAGAAGCACTGATATTGATGTGGTCCTGTGAGAGAAGCACTGATATTTATGTAGTCCTGTGAGAGCAGCACTGATATTGATGTGGTCCTGTGAGAGCAGCACTGATATTGATGTGGTCCTGTGAGAGCAGCACTGATATTTATGTGGTCCTGTGAGAGCAGCACTGATATTTATGTGGTCCTGTGAGAGCAGCACTGATATTTATGTGGTCCTGTGAGAGCAGCACTGATATTTATGTGGTCCTGTGAGAGCAGCACTGATATTTATGTGGTCCTGTGAGAGCAGCACTGATATTTATGTGGTCCGGTGAGAGCAGCACTGATATTTATATGGTCCTGTGAGAGCAGCACTGATATTTATATGGTCCTGTGAGAGCAGCACTGATATTTATATGGTCCTGTCAGAGCAGCACTGATATTTATATGGTCCTGTCAGAGCAGCACTGATATTTATATGGTCCTGTCAGAGCAGCACTGATATTTATATGGTCCTGTCAGAGCAGCACTGATATTTATATGGTCCGGTGAGAGCAGCACTGATATTTATATGGTCCTGCCAGTGCAGCAACTTTTGCTGTGACAACTGGTTGAAATTTGTATGAAGCCTTGTGAGGGTGAAGTGGCAGAGAAAAACGCATGTGCATTGAAGGTGCCATTCCTCCAGTCTCTGCACCATCAGGAAACGTTTTGATTTTTGGTATGATGCTGATGTCTGCGTTTATCAAGATAACAACTTGTAATATTTGTTCACAGGTTCAGCACTTCAAGACAGACCCTCACCTGGGCTTCTGACACATTCTTTTCCAGGTCAGTATTTTACCCTACATGTAGGAGTTACACACGTGTGCATTTGAATGGTTGCCTAAAACAAAATCCTTCTTGCCTCACCTCTCATGCATACTCCAGGAGAGAACATTCCCCATAGGAATGGAATGGAGAACGCATCTAAAATGTACCTCATAAAATACACACAGATGTGAATGTAGACAGGGACAGATTTACTCTCCCTGCTGCCACAAGGCCAGGTTCCGCAATGCTATATTTATTTAATTATTTTTTTATCAATTGTTTTGTTCTTTTCACTTAACTTTTTCGCTATCACACAGGAGGTATGTGTGATAGCATTTGGAGGTGACAGGTTCTCTTTATGGACCCTGTCACCTCCAATACAGGAGTTCTAGCACAGCACTGTGCTGGAACTCCTGTGAGAGGGGAAGACTGCTCTCCCCTCTCACTGTTTACATGGAGCGGCAGGGTTAATTTTAACCCTGCCACTCTGCTCACCGCATCGGCGGCCAGTAAGGAGAGAGACTCGGCGGCGAAGCCCGGAGGACGGAGCCAGCGAGGAGAGATGTAGGTGCGGGGACGAACCAACTAACGGCTTCCTCACACTACATTTATCCCTGCTTTCCCAAAGCAGGGATGAATGTAGAAAGCAACTTCGCCAGGCGCCTGGAACTGCATGTTCCGGGCGTCGGGGGATTCCGCACCGCTTCTGCTCCCTGCCGCCCCAAGGCCGGGCCTCTGTGGCCTTGTGGGAAGTACGGCCCTGAATGTAGACTTAAGCTGGGTATATTCTACTAGATTTTTGTTGTTCATCTTTATCCATCCACGTTAACCGGAATGGATGGAGGACTCTCCCATTGTGGCCCCACCATCTGTTAAAGTACCTGGACATTACCAGCATCTGATTGGACGCAGGAACTGTTTGGCAGACAGTTGTCCACTTGGCTCCTTCGATATTTCATTTTAAAGGATGTCAGTTGGGAGTCGGCAGACAGGGCCACCGACTGAGCGAATTTCATCAGGTTCCTACATTGGAGTTCATCAGATGGAAGCTGCACATTAATGCATTTTTTTTCTACGCATGTAAAAGTTTGGAGTTTAGATGAAACCCTTTATTGACTAAGTTATCCAAATGTCATGTTGCTGAGGCTTTATGGTGCCTGAAAGATCCAGCGGCTCTCTATGTCTTTCAGAGACTCCAGAGGTAAGAGGTCCACATTGGGGTCTGCACCCTTATGTCTTTGTTTTGAATCTTCTGCTGCATTCTTTACAATGTAAATTAAAACCCAACGAGAAGAGTGATGTCCTCTTGTAATGACGGCTGTAGCATTTGGATGAAGCTCGGATCTCAGGTGCAGAGGCCTCCAATGTTCCTCAAAGATTTATGAAGCCTGGTTGTTGTTTCAGCTTGCTGCATGTTACAGTTTATTGAAAGCTTTGAATTGATAGCCAGAAATGATTAACTTATTTCATCACTTTCTTTTTTTTTTTTTATCAGCTTGCTGAGTGGCCGAATCTCTTCCTTAAAGGATGAAACTGGAGCAGTGAGTTTCTGGTTAAACTTTCTACAGAAGACTTAGGGATTCACAGAGCCAGGCATCCTGCGAAATTGCATGTATTGCATTCATTCTGGGCAAATGTAGGCAAAAGTAAATGTTATCAGTATATATTCTTTCCAGGTCAAATGTAATATCAGGAAAATACTGCATGAATACCACTATATGGAGCTGAGGAGCGCAGGAAATAAAGCCTTCTTTCCTATCTTACTTATTTCCATCTAGTGGCCGTAATGCTGTGTTTTGCTGATATTGCATTTGATCTGGAAAGAAAATGTGCCATTTGTTTTTGCCTCCATTCGCACAGAAGGAATGTACATGCAATTTCGCAGAAGGAGTGGCTCTGGGAATTGTTTATAAATATCCCCCTTGTACGTTTTCTTTAAAAAAGCACAAATAAGTATAACAGTGATAAAAATGCAGAAAGCCCCCAATTTGTTAATCTGTAATGCGGATGACACCAAAATAGGGAGGGTAATAGACACGGACTTAGACACTATAACATTACAGGAGGACCTGGATAAAATAGGGGAGTGGGCATTAATGTGGCAGATGAGGTTTTATGTTTGCAGGCTCTTACAATACTACAGTATACCTTTCTGGTATATGCATATTCTTAAAATTAGTATTTTAATGTTTACCTTAAAGCATTGGCACAGGCAGATTTAAGATTCCTGATTAACCATTGTATGGACTATTGCAATATTACTCAAATATGTCTTTAACCAGTTGACATCCGCGGTGTTAAACCCCCTTCCCATCCAGGCCATTTTTCAGTATTCAGCGCTGCGGTACTTTGACTGACATTTATTCCGTCATGCAGTTCTCCCTAAGCTCAGTCTCCCAGTGTCGTCACCCTAATCTCAGTATACCGTGAGCTACTGCTCGCGGTATACTGAGACGCCGGAGCGGATCCCGACATCGATGTCGAGATCCGCCCAGCTGCGTAAGTGACAGCTGGCTCTGCCTATCTAGAGGCAGAGCCAGCTGTACCTGCCCCCTCCCCGTCCGTTCTGCCAGTCAGCGCTGGCGGATCGGAGCAGGGAATCCACCCCCTCCCCTGTCACGGCAGAGAGCCGTGACAGGATCGAGAGGTGAGCGAACGCCGGTATATGTTCGCTCACCTCCCGATCTACTGAGCCGACCTGTGACAGTCTCATTGTCACAGGCCGGCTAGAACTATGAAGTGAGTGAAAAGCACTCACCTCATAGTTCTCCTTTAAATGAAACATGGACGGCTGTCATTGCTGCTTCTCATTCTGCAAATGCTAGTTGCCTGGCTATCATGCTGACTCTTAGACCCCATTCACACTGAGTGATTTGTAGCGTGATTTCTGCTCAAAAATCACTCAATGTAGCTCGTCCAATGCATTTCAATGGAGCTGTTCACATCTCACAGCTCAATGTCGCTTGTAGCTCAAGCTTGTCCCTTGAACATGACCTATTGTTCCAGCGGATTTGACCCCATAGGCTTTGATAGACTGCCAAAAGAAGTGCTACGTAGTGTGACAAAATGTGCACTGTAGCTCAATGTTGCTCAGCTCAAATCAGCGCTGAAACTGAGCTTTTTTTAATGTAGCTCAGTGTGAATGGGGTCTTATGCTTCAACAATTTTGATTTATTAAATTGGAACAAGTATATACATAGGGACTTTTGGCTTGACCCTGACTTTCCTGATATGTATACTTGTTCCAAGTATTGAAGCCAGTAGGTCAGTGTAATAGCCTGGCAACCAGCATGCTAAGAAGGTTAGCAGTGGGTGCTGCCGTGTCTTTCTTAGCAAAGGTTTACTTTAAATAGTAGAAACACAAAACGCACAGCTCACTCCTCTCATGCATCCTTGTAACTCACATATAAACATATATATATATACATATATATAGACACTAATTAGAGGTAGGAGCAGCATCAGCACTGTAAGACGACAGTCAGGCTTTAATTAGGGCACAGTGATTCGAAGAAATGGTGCTTGCTGATTGGGGGAGAGAGCACTAGTGAGCTGATGTTTCTTCCCATTAACAAGTTGGATCACACTGTATTGCTTTGACTGCAGTGGAGAAAAGTGAGTTGTCAGGATTTTGTATAGAGTATGATATAGAAATCTGGATGAACAAACTTCCATTTTTTTGGCAGTAAAACAATTCAGGCATTCATATTTTAGTGGTGTATTTAGCTGTTTGCCTACACTTGAGGGTGATATTTGAAGTTCTCATTTTGACATGCCTCCAATGCCATATTTCCATTATTTTGTTACATATACAGATTTCCAGTCACTGCAATGACAATCTGCACTTCATAGCACTCTCGCAGCTTCCTCGCCGAAATAGAACCTCAGTCACATAGCTTATTATTTTTAATCAATCAAGAATCAGGGCCTGTATATGTAATAGCCAAATATGTCCATCCCCATGTGTATCTATCATTACAAACTATGCATACAAATAAAGTTCTTAAAGCAACACCTCTTGAAAGATCACAATAAAAAGGTTGTAGTTTCCCTTTAAAAAAAAATCTGATCAAGTCCTTCTTTTTCTTCTTTTTCTTCTTTTTCAGATTTTCATTGACAGAGATCCTACAGTGTTCGCTCCCATACTGAACTTTCTACGCACCAAAGAGCTTGATACAAGGTTAATGTGTGCAGAGTATACATGTCTCTACCGACATATGAAAATGTGTTATCAGTGTATTACTTTTAATATCATTCTTAAAGGATAACTTAGCTCAAAGCTGCATGTGCCCCCTGTTCTTCCTCAAAATATAATTATCTAAACATTAGATCTCAGACCATCCAGGGAGCCGGAATGGCTGTCAGCTCTAGTGTATAATGACCAGGCATTCTCCTTGTAGGTGTGAATGCAGATGGACAATTCAATTAAATTAATGGAGAGCAGTCAGTACAGTGTTGCAAAGATCCCATCTCCTAGCATGAGGAAGCACTGCTCAGCCACTAGCCAGGCCAGGCAGCTGCAGCTAAGAACATTGCATCGGAGTTGTAACCTTCAAATTACTAGCAAAGGAGGGCCAGTGGCACATGGAGCTTTATGCTTAACCCCTTCATGACTGAGGCCCTTTTTTCAATTTTTGCACCCATGTTATATTCCACATTTTAGGCCTGAAAATGTTATCCCTTAGAAGCACCATACATACTACAATGGGGTGCATTCATTCATAGAAACCAATTGGGTGTTGTCATTCAGTAGCCTGGACCGACTAATGATTACTCTGGATTTCTGTATAGCACTGTGCACACTTTTCTGTAAATTATTAAATAAGCTTGTCTGTAAAGCAAATATGTTGCGCTAGGTCTATGTGAACCAA